GCGTAAAGAAATCTACAAGGAGCACAGTTTGAAATGGACGTGTGAAAGTCAAAGTGCAACAATGAGTATCTCGTAACAACAACCAGAATACAATTCCATCTTTGATACATGGCCAGGAGTGGAAGTGTCAAGCGAAGAAGTTGTGCTTAAAAGTGAAGAAGAAGATTCTGTTCCAGGACGCGACCTCCATGTGGATGCAGGCAGCGTGAAGCAGGAGCAGCATTCGGACAGAAGGAGAGTGAGACGACCCGCAGGAGTTTGTGGATATGGAGGTGTGAGTGGAGTTTTTGGACACAGCAGAGTAGAAGGGGCTTGCACGTGTGAAGTGGAGTCTGGGAAGGTCTGCAACCAGAAGCGTGACAATCTCCAAAGCATTAAACTCATTCACAGACTTCCCTCACGACAAGAATGGATGCAGCTGTAGGCGTCATCCAGTCGAGCTATGAGCTTTCAATAAATATGGAATCACAGTGCAGTAAAATATTTTCGAATTGCAAAGAGTGCCTTTCATAATCGCTCATTAATGTTGGTCAGGTTACTAGTGCCTGTATGGTGGGGTCTTTCGTGTGATTTGTTACGCAACTTTTGAGGTGACAGGTTATTAACGTTGACCGTTTAATTGTAGGCCAGTCGCCAACAATAACAGCTGCAATTTACCACTAAATGATAGTTATCACCATGGCGCTTGTGCCAGACCTGGTGCATTTCGAGGCCCAGTGAAGTGTCGAAAGATCACAGAGAGGAGGTCATGGGACAGACCCAGATGTCACGGGATCACAGGATATCTGACTGAGATGACTCGGATGCCCCCATTTCCACACGATAGCACAACTTTGAAGAGCAGGTCACACAAACACAGTATCTTACAAGGAGTAATAGCCAAAAATATACATCCACTGAAACCTATGTCCGAGTGCGTTTCTGAACTCGTACACGTTTTGATCAGGCGACCTTAACCACCGTTATCCATTCGGGCTGTTTATCTGCATCCTGATATGGGAACGTTCCCACTTAACAAAAGGAGTGCGAGTGGCCCGTAGGTCTTCCAAACGTTCCTTTAAAGCAGACACCCCCTTCCACTGACTGTACATGTCACCTCTGCACGATAGTACATGGCACTCGCCATCACTCCACAATTTGGGTTCGAGATTACTCGCTAATATTGATGTAAGGCACCTCGCCACAATTTAGTTTTTCAATCACAGACCACTTCGGAGCCACAATTACGACATCAGACTTAGCACACGAGTCAGATAGTGACCGCGGATTCGTGTCTTCCGTGTGCTCGGCTGAAATCATTGCACCGCTCCTTCCCACCGCAGGATGGCGCTAGAAGCCGCCCCCTTGCCCCACGGATGAAACGTTATCCATATTCTTTGGTTCTTTCGGTAAAGCCACGTATAAAGAAAAAATAATAAATTAAATAATAATTTTTTCTTTTTACGTGACTTTACCGAAAGAACCAAAGAATAATTCCTGCAGTCACGAAAGCTCCAAAGTTAACGTTATCCATAATTTAGGTTTTTGGGTTAGATCGCGTAAATATGAATGTGTCGTTAAAACCCGCCACCACCCGACACAGACAAATAGTAAGGGTCGTCACGTAAACAGAACGTGGCCAATCCGTCACTAATACAGCACGAACCGGTGTGTTGGAGAGCCAAGCCACATTTACAAATCGAGTACGATGTTTCGCCAGTAATTACAACTAGCTTCATCAGGCGACAGCCAGATTTGTGGAGAAGTCCACCTGTTTCGTTCCTTATATAGAGGCGTAGATGTGGTGACCACCCTTCTGCGCCACGTGGGGAGGGGGGGTGGATTACTGAGGCAACGTTCATTATGCCGCTGCGTGGTGACGTCATCGCGCTCAGGTTGGTTGGAGCGCCGCTGCGTGGTGACGTCATCGCGCTCAGGTTGGTTGGAGCGCCGCTGCGTGGTGACGTCATCGCGCTCAGGTTGGTTGGAGCGCCGCTGCGTGGTGACGTCATCGCGCTCAGGTTGGTTGGAGCGCCCCTGCGTGGCGGTTTGTCGTGCAGCGTGTATAAATAAATAAATAACCTTCCCATTTTACTACAGTATTTTCAAAAATTATTGCTGTGGATTTCACACCTGATGGCGATTGCTTGTGTTGCAGTCAAAACGTCGTAAAATGTTTTTTATATTATTTTATTATTTCCCTTCTACGTGACTTTACCGAAAGAACCAAGAATATAATACAACATGGTTCTGTATCGCCACCGTGTGGTCACGTGGTACAACTGCAGTGCCTGGCGCGGTGACAGCAGCAGTGGCGCTGTGCGGCGTCTTCACGGCTTCATCGCCGCCAACCCGCTTGGGACTCACGCCAGGACGCCGCAGCAGCAGCAGCGACTCACAACTGCGGGGAACGCGCGGGGTGACGCCTGACAGCGGCAACTGCTGGCGAACTGTGTTGGCCGACACTGCACATGTCCACCACATAGCAGACTTCACCACGAATTGAATGCTTGTGGTACTGCACTTGTACACCAAGCTGTCCCATACGTTTACACCGTTGTATATTTGGTGAACATCGGTGCTGACATAGTGAAACGCACTGCATTGCCAAACAGTGCGCTTCAAATCGGCATCAATCACACCCATCATTGACTTCAATGCAAAATGCCGCCCCGGTTCCAAAAGTCACACAAGCAAGTGGTGTGTGCCCTTCGACTCTACTCGACAGAGTCGAGCCATATACAATTCAACTCATCTCGCTGAGACGCGTTTAAAGGTATATGGATTAGAGTTAGGGGTTCAGGTTTAGGCCAGACATGGGCAAAGCACGGCCCGTGGGGCGTATACGGCCCGTTGGGCTTTTTAATCCGGCCCGCCAAACGTCCAAATATTAAATAAAATTTTACCTTCCTCCTGTAATGCCCCCACTTCCCCAATAGATGTCGCACTTTGACCGGGAGAGAGAGAATATTCGTATGAGCAATTCATGTTTCTATTGAAAGTTAATAGTAATATTTGGGTACAGTATTGTTTTTGGAAGCATTCATTGTAATATCGTATGAACGTTTACTTCACCGCATCATCGTATGAATGATGCGAGAAGAGATTAACGGGTTCTTATGTTAGCGATTTACGTTCTCGGTGCTTTCGCTCTCTCAATTACGTCTTGAATGAGGGGGAGGGGTATGATTACATCACAAACTTAATCTTACTAGGTATTTTATATAACAAAAGTTATATACATAACTGTTACGTTTTGTGTAATTCAGCAAAACAAACAAAACTTACCTCAGAGTTCTCTCCGAATTTCACGAGTTCGTTCTAGACCCCACAATTTTTTAAAGAGTTTTAAGCACAGAAAACATAATTAAAGTTTGAAAAATCATTAATTATACAAACTTTTCCATAATTTCATTCTTCACTTCGATTTAAAAATGTTCTTTAAAAACTTCTCACCAACATTACCACTTTCTCCGAAGGCAAATTTGTAAAAGAATACATGGTACAGACAGCAGACATCTTGTGTCCGGAGATCAAAAGCAAATTTGAAAAAGTCAGTTCATGACGCTGGACTGACTCGCCGTGTGGAACGGATTGATAAAAATATAGCCAGTCAATTAAACAAAACGTCTGATTCCTTTGAATTATATTCACTAGCACTGGATGAAAGTACGGACGTGAAAGACACTGCTCAGCTCCTCATTTTTACCCGAGGCATTGACGACAGTTTTGCGGTAAGAGGAGTTTTTGACCATGGAGTCCCTGAAAGGAACAACGCGGGGAGAGGACTTGTATAACCAGGTATCTGCTGTCATCGAAAGAATGACGCTACCTTGGAGTAAACTTGTCAATGTCACAACGGATGGATCGACAAATTTAACTGGAAAAAATATTGGACTGCTGAAAAGAATCCAGGATAAAGTGAAAGAGGAAAACCCTGTCCAGGATCTTATTTTCCTTCACTGCATCATCCATCAAGAATCCCTGTGTAAGTCTGTATTGCAGCTTAATCGTGTCGTGAATCCCAGTCGTACAACTTATGAACTTTATACGAGCAAGGGGACTTCAGCACCGTCAGTTTATTACCTTCCTGGAGGAAACTGATGCGGATCATCAGGATTTGCTGTACCACTCTCGTGTCCGCTGGTTAAGTTTGGGGAAAGTGTTACAACGAGTGTGGGAGCTGAAAGAAGATATCATCGCATTTTTGGAGTTGATGGGGAAATCTGATGAATTCCCTGAGCTAAGCGACAAGAACTGGCTTAGTGACTTTGCGTTTTCTGTGGACATATTTTCACACATGAGCTGAATGTGAAACTGCAGGGGAAAGATCAGTTTTTGTACATGTATTCTCTGGAGGTTGTGAATATTTGATGACCCTGGAACCGTCTTACCACACGCAGTACACCTGATGGGCTTCTCTTCTGTGTGTTCTTTGGTATGTGTCAAGATTTAATGACTGCAAATTAATTCCAAGACAGTGCACAGTCGTCATGTCCCATGGACGAGGCGAGTTCTGCTCTTGGTGAGGTCACAAACCAGAGACAGGGAGGCGCTGACATCACCCACCCGTGACTTTGAGGGGACGTCTCCCGAGGACGCTTTGCATATTTAAATAAACATGTGGTAAGCAATGTGAGATATCGATGGACACAGATACAAAAAAGATCAGCGGACACCTTTCATTTATCGGTCTCTCCACGAAACAAAGGAATGTTTTACACAAACTATAACTGGCACAGCCTTCTGGGAGTGCATCATTGATTCAGTGCAAGCCACCCGTGGACCCTTATTGGTGCACAGCGTCTCAACAGCAGTCGGGCTTGCTTCAACCATGGTTCCAAACATCCAGATGTTAATCAGCAAGGTGCATTTATAGTCTTAGTTCGACAAAATCTATATAAACACGTAATACAAAATTATAATTCGTGTTGTGGAGAATGTATCTCCTATACGTAACTTTTTAGTGGTATACCTTGTAACTGGTGAATTATCCGAGTGTGCTCCCTATTTCAAAGACAATGAGTTGCTCCAGAGGAAGATGCTTCCTGAAACAAAAAAATAACCTTTGGCCTGCATCACAACAACAGGTCTCACCCGAGTTATCTGTACAGGTTACTTCCAAAAACGCAATTTGTCCAAACATCACTTATTCAATATTTGACAATTATAGACAAAATGTTCCATGTACGCACACAATCAGACAAGTATTCATTCTAAATTGACAGGCATATTAACAAAATTGAATTAATGAATCATGTTACGTCGTATATACAAGGAGCTGATATAAAAGAAAATGCACCATCTGCTTAACAGTGGATGTAAAACTTACTGGTGTGTCATTCAAAACCAGTAGGCCATTGCATGCTGGCGTCTGGGTCAAAATTTAGCAAATTCTAAACCTTACCTACAAACTCCAAAACTGAGATGGCACATCAACCATCGCCCCCTACTGACAGGCTCTTGTCCACATGCAGGTCGGTGCAGGGCCACCACCTTGTGCCACACAGGGGCAGCTGCTACTTGGGGATGCTCTTCGAGTGTTTGAGACGAGATACGATACAGAACTCCAAGTTGCTGAGGCAATTAAGCAAGCACCATATGAATGCAAATATTATAACATAGTGAATGCTTGGGAGCTTATGGACTCTCGCTCCTGGATGGGCATCTACCCAACCCACAGGTCCACAAATACTGGCCGCATCTTACTCTGCAGGTTGAACCTAGGAATTGAGTGTTCAACTTCACGTTATTTTCATTAAATGCCTGTGACAAGGGTGAATCTACTGGAGCTTCATTGTCTAAAGGTTACACAACTACCGGGTCTCCATTTGACTTTGTATTGTCTAAGAAGTCCACCCACACCTCCACCTCCACAAACTGCTGGGAGTTGCCTCGCTCTGCCTCACAGCCAGAATTCTCCTCCTGCTTCACGTTGCCTCCATCGATGTGAAGGTCAGATTTTGGAGTTGAATCTTCATCTTCACATTTTACCTCCACTTTTTTGCTCTTCACCATCACTTCTTCACGTTTCACCTTCACCTCTTCATATTTCACCTCGATACCATTCAAAGTGTCCAAGCTGGGTTTTTCTTCCAGATCTTGTTTCAGGAGTGATGGGCTCATTGCGGCACTTTGACTTTCACAAACAGATTTTAGACTCCACTCCTTGTGGATCTTCTGATGCTTGTGTGTTCTCTGGTGTCTTTTAAAAGAGGATGACCGTGAATATGCCTTCTCACAAACAGTGCATTGGAAGGGTTTCTCTTCCGTGTGTGTTTTCTGGTGTAATTTAAGGTGTGATGACTGTGCAAATGCTTTCTCACAAAGAGTGCATTGGAAGGGTTTCTCTCCCGTATGTGTTCTCTGGTGTATTTTAAGAACCGATGACTTTGCAAATGCTTTCTCACAAAGAGTGCACTGGAAGGGTTTCTCTCCCGTGTGTGTTCTCTGGTGTATTTTAAGAGCAGGTGAATATGCAAATGCCTTCTCACAAAGAGTGCACTGGAAGGGTTTCTCTCCCGTGTGTGTTCTCTGGTGTATTTTAAGAGCAGATGACTGTGAAAATGCCTTCTCACAAAGAGTGCACTGGAAGGGTTTCTCTCCCGTGTGTGTTTTCTGGTGGTTCCGAATGTGTGATGAGCATGCAAATGCATTTTTGCACACAGTGCACTGGAAGGGTTTCTCTCCCGTGTGTGTTCTCTGGTGTATTTTAAGAGCATGTGAATATGCAAATGCCTTCTCACAAAGAGTGCACTGGAAGGGTTTCATTCCCGTGTGTGTTCTCTGGTGTATTTGAAGAACCGATGACCATGCAAATGTTTTCTCACAATGAGTGCACCTGAAGGGTTTCTCTCCCGTGTGTGTTCTCTGGTGGTTCCGAAGGTGTGATGAGCATTCAAATGCCTTTTTGCACACAGTGGACTTGCAGGGTTTCTCTTTTGTACGAATTCTCTGTTGCCGTTTCAAATGTCCACACCGGTCGCATTGTTGCATGTTGTTACCGAGCTGTGCCGAGTGCCTTTGCTCCATCAGACCATTTCTGCAGAGGAAGCGTCAGAGGAAGCGACAGCTACAGACAAAAACAACAACACCATCTACGGCATTATCGAGGCAGAGGAATGCATATATACACAGTCACACATGACTTACACGTCTATACTTATTGATATATTCAAGATATTTCCCAATTGATCACATGGGCTGTTAGGGCACACAATGAGAGGGCAAATGGTCATAAATATGCCTGGAAGCCTGATAATCTTCTAAATGAATGTTAATCCAAAACTCCAAGCACACAATATCGGCTGAATGTGTCGTTAACACCCGCCACCACCCGACACATCCAAGTAGTAAGGGTTGTCACGTAAACAGAAGATGCCAATTCGTCACTAGTACAGCACACCGGTGTGTTGGAGAGCCAAGCCACAACATTTACAAAATGAGTACAACGTTTCGCCAGTACTTACAACTAGCTTCATCAGGTGACAGCCATATTTGTGGAGAAGTCTTACCGTTTCGTTCCTTAAATAGAGCCGCAGATGTGTTGACCACCCTTCTGTGCTCTTGCACAATGTGGGGGGGGGGGGGGGGGGAATTACCGTTGGTAGGGCGATTAAAAAAAAAACACAATAGACAGGAAGGACACGTTCAAAGGCCTCGCGTAATGGACATGCATAATGAACGTTGCCAAGTAATCTCCCACCCCCACGTGGCGCAAGAGCACAGAAAGGTGGTCACCACATCTACACCTTCATATAAGGAACGATACGGTAAGACTTCTCCACAAATGTATCTGTCACCTGATGAAGCGAGTTGTGCTGTACCAGTGACGAGTTGCCACGTTCTGTTTACGTGACAACTCTTACTAGTTGGCTGTGTCGGGTGGTGGTGGGTTTTAACGACGACAAATTTATATATTTACACGATCTAACCCAAAAAGATCGTATGGATAGCAAAGGGTGTTGAAAATATTCCTGTGTGTTGTGCAGAAATGCAAAAATGTATATTCAATCACAACTTAGAGGTGTGAATCCAGGCTCATATTTCCTTGAATGCTCGGATGAACAGATCTAACTTCAGCTGCATATGTGATGTGTTAATTTCCAGTTTCCATTCGTATAAAAAGTTCCAGAAAAAAAAAAGTATCGTTTTGATGTAACCTGTGTTCAATCGAGTCAATATACTTTACAGCAAATACAAACTTTACACGGTCACACACTGGCATGGGAAAAAGGTGGTTGTGTGTCCAGAACCATGCCTGACCACGTTCATCTGCTCAGTATTAATGCTTCCTCACTTCACCATGTCATTAATTGACGATCAATCAACATAGCAGAGGTGCACAATAAGTTCATCTTTCACTTATCAATCATGTTTGCTGTCGGCTACAATAAAACTAATTAAGTTCATAATGCAGTGAAATAACTGCACCACCGCTCCCCAGGAAGATAAACTCTTAAATACACATCCATTTCACATGGATCATGAACATATTATATAAACAAAACATCCACCATTCATGACGAATTGGAAGTGACCTTATCACAGTGCTAATGCCATTTTAGGGGCAATTTAAGTGTATCACTTGTCAGCCGGTCATGGGACCGGTCCAGGTGTCAAGGGATTACTGACAGATGCACCAAGCTGTGCTTCCCACTGTCTTGCTGGGTTTTAGGAACCCAGCGGTCCACCCATTCATGCGACCGTCGCTCCTCCGGCCTCATCGTTGTTAGAGAGCAAATATCTTTGACTGTCCTGCAGCATACCTCGCGGGCCTCCTCCACAGAGGCCGATCTCGACACTCCTGGCACCAGCCATCTGCAGATCCGATCACCTCCACATCCTCCAATCTCTTCGAGCCCATACCATGCCTATTTAGCCGCTAAAGTCTGGACTAACAGAAGCTGCTTGAGCATGCGGTGTCTGGGAATGCGGGATTCATGAACAAACCAATGCAGCCTCGCCTGCCAAAGAGACTTACCGATTAGATTTCTATATTAAGGATCTTTAAGCTTCTAATACAATATAGTCTGGTTCAATAGAGGCTGGATCATAGGCAGGCCAGCCTTCATTCTATAAGCCAGCACAGACGGTCATTTCAATACGTTCATATTTTGCATCCACAGGGGAGTAATATCTGTGGCCCAGAAGAATCACAGCTTTCATCTTCTTGGTTCTTTCCGTAAAGTCACGTAGAATGGAAATAATAAAATAATAAAAATAAAACATAATAAAATAATTCTCACGACGTTTCGGCCACAACGCAAGCAGCCGTCCTCAGGTGAAGAACAGGTCTGTCGAGAAGACAGAGTCTGAATGACACACCCCAGGCTTGGAGCCTCTATTTAAAAGCTGGGAGGGAGGAGGAAGAGAATTATTTAATAATTTTATTTCAATTATTTTATTATTTCCATTCTACGTGACTTTACCGAAAGAACCAAGAAGATGAATCCCTGCAGTCACGAAAGCTTTAAATCGAAAAATCACAGCTTTGTCCATACGTTTATGAATCCGCGTGTCCTGGTGAGGGTCCCGGTGGCAGCATGGCAAGTAGGGTGGTGAAATCACTCCTTGAGCCAGGCCCAGGGGGTTGTGTTCACCAGCAAGCGCCTCTTGGCCGGGTGACCCACGTAACTCGATCGGGCCCAGCCTAAAACGGCGACGTGGCAGCATCACGTGCGCCCACCATCCGCAGGAAAAATGGTGAGGGGCGGGTGCGATGAACTAGACCTTCGCGGTAGACACTCGCAGATTTGTATTCAGCAAAAGTCCAGGCAGCTTCCACAGTGTTACAGTCTAATGAAAGAATGCTGCTCGACTAATTTGAAGTGAGACTTTGGCTGCCAGAGCTTGGTGTGAACACATTAACCAGCTATGAGAGCTTCTCCGCCACTTGTAGAACTGCCCGTATGACATGAAATTCCATGACAGGCGATTTATTTTTGTGGAACATACACAAGACCCCATTTCATGTTGGAATTATCCAGACACAGAACAAGATTCTCCATCTCATGGAGCGGCCATTACCAGATCATCAGCAGATGTAACATGGTTAACCAGCAGGGAACCATCCCTTAACTTTGACCAGGCATCGATTCGCGTATCATTGTAACCATAAATAATGCAATTTATTTATATGGCCATTGTGAGCTTTTCTAACTATGTAATTATTGAAGATGTAATGTAATGCATGGCGCCAGAGATATTTTATGTCATGAGCAAAGTTGAACAGGAAATGGCTCCGACTCCTGGTCACGCAGCTTTAGACGGGCCTGCCCAAAATAAAAAAAATCCTCAATGAATGTGAGCGGAGGCAGAGAAATCGAAAACAAAAAACAACCCAAAGCCCCAGGCCTCTTTATGGTACTATAGGCCTAAATTACATCAAGAAAACTGATATAATTTCTGCTGAAAATCCGTACTCCTCTGTGGTAGTCGATCGACAGAAAATACAGCAGTCCCTTGAATATCGCAGAAGTCACGTTTTTAGAAAGTGCCGCGCGAAAGCTAAAAGCACAATATTCAATACTTTAGCCTTACCTACGTAATGGCGTTTAAGCCCTGGGCATTCTCACTACTTCTGGTTTGCCACACATGCAAACACATTATGACATTTCATATACTACAATTCCACGCACTAACCATAACAGAAGTGTCTGCACTGAACTGCTGTTATATTTGTTCTCATATTTACCACGATATCCTTCCCTGTTACCAGGCCTGCATTTTTGCCACCAAATTCATCCACTTCCGGCTCCTTACTGTCCTCTGCATGTGCACGGCTCACCTCTAACACAACGCAATGTTTATTTAAAAAATAAATACCACTCTAAAATATTTACATCTACGTACCAACACTACCGACCTCCTTCTACACAACAGACGCTATACAACAGCTACAACTAAATACATCAAGTATATGTGGTGCCACAGCGACGGGGCCGCTCTGCCGAGCCAGGGAGCCGCCCGGCTTCCCCCACCGCACTGCCCCCAATCACCCGCCCCACATAAGCACACACCCGCACGCATCCCCCCCCCCCCATAGAGCTGGAAGGGAAGGTTACCTGATCGACCGGTTTTTATCCGAGAGACCCTTATCGGGATTAATTCTCACGGTTTCCGGCGATCAGGGAATTGGATGACCTCCCCCGTGCTACGTGGTACCGCGGCGCTGCTGCCGGCCTTAATATGGTGTGGTCGCGGCGTGGGGCATTCGGCCACCGCGGTTGAGGCGCATTTCCCCCCACACACACCCCCACGAGTCGACGGGGCAAGCAGGGGAGGCACGGGACAGCATGAATAGCGGGGTCACAGGGGCTGTTGCGCATAGTCATGGAGGGTTGGGATAATTGCGCTTGAGCGCGCAAGCCCCATTGGTAGGAAGGGTAAGGGAGTAATTAGGATTTACGCCTTGCACGCAGCACACTGATTAGCATATCAACAGCGCCTGGGGACTGCCGTGCGCGGGCTTGGGGTGCACGAGCCCATTGTTCAGCGCAGCATCCCCTTTGGGAGGTAGGGAGGATAAATAGAGGAGCGCAGAGGGGAAATCGCTCTCTTACTCCAGCGCCAGGCGACCAGACGCAGCTCGAGCCAGCGACCCGGACGTCCGTGCGACGCACCGAGGCACGCGGTTAACACAAGGATCAGCGGACCGCCGTGGACACTTAACAGTGAGTAAGAAGGTGAATTAGAATCATAGCCGATAAATAGGGAATAGGTGCCGGTTTAGTGGAATAGGCCAGCCTCGTCGACTCACTAATTCAACA